GGGCTGGTCAGCAGTGTGGCAAGCAGGTTGCCCCGGAAGGTGTGGTGGCAGGAATTTGAGAACCAAAAGGATGCGGTCTAAATGCTAGAAGCCTCTTGGTGTATGAATGAGGGAAACTGAGCCCAGATGAGGGAAAGGGACTTGCCTAAGGTCACACAGCAAATTCCTGTTGCTAACTCAGTGCTGCCCTGGCCTTCGTGGAAGACATTGCTCTTTCTCACTGGGCCCTGGGGGGAGAGGGAAGGCCTGGGGTGCCAGTGGGAGGGCAAGGAAGGGCTCTCCTTGCACCAGAGAGACGGGGGGACATGCCCTCAAACTGGAGATACGGCACCTGCCCCAAGAGCTGTCGCGCGATGGCTGTGCGTGCTAGCTCCAGGGCGCTCGGCGCAGCAAAGCCCGTGCCTGCACCAGGCCAGGGCAGTCTCTTTCCTGAGCCGGTCGATGGCTCGTGATGTCCCCAGCTCCTCCACCAAAACCTCCAAGGAGTCCGGGATCAGGTGAGCTGTGAACAGCCACATCGGGGCCTGAGGGGAGCTGCTGTTTAAGGAGCAGGTGCGGCCAAGGCAGCTCTGCGGAGGGAGGGGCGTTTGGAATTGACGTGACTGCATCTTCTGACGGGCCGGTGGCACCTGCGGGAGGCAGAGGCTGGTGATGTTGATGGGACGTGGGGTGATCGGCCGGGGCAGGCCTGGGACAAGTGCGACAGCCCAAGGGACCGCTTGGGCTCTTGCCCGAGGCTTTGGGGTGACTGTCTAACCTTCTCAGTGGACAAGGAAGGATCCAGACAGCCTCAATCTGTGTCATGGGGATGGGATGCAAGTGCTTGGGGAGGACTTCCTGCAGGAGGAGGAGGAGGAGGAGGAGGAGGACCTATGTATCCCTGAAAGATAAGTTCACTGGAAAGAGCTTATTGTAGGTGCCCTTTTGCCAAGCAGCAGCCTGAACAGAAGGTCCCCTCTTGGCCTGGGAATTTCCTGAAGTCCAGAGTCTGCAGACTTAGCGCAGGGCTCCTTCCCACATCAGACCGGGGGCCCCATAAGGGTCAGGGCTGTGTCTCTGCATTCAGTCTGACCATTCCCAAAGACAGGGAGCACACATGTGCGTCAGACCAGCAGCTCCGGGGGGGGGGGGCAGGTGCCGTATCTCCCAGTTTGAGGGCATGTCCCCCAGTCTCTCTGGTGGCAAGGAGAGCCCTTCCTTGCCCTCCACTGGGCACCCCAGGCCTTCCTCTCCCCGCAGGGCCCAGTGAGAAAGAGCAATGTCTTCCACGAAGGCCAGGGCAGCCACTGAGTTAGCAACAGGAATTTGCTGTGTGGCCTTAGGCAAGCCCCTCTCTGGGGCTCAGTTTCCCTCATTCATACACCAAGAGGCTTTCTAGCATTTTAGACGCATCCTTTTGGTTCTCAATTCCTGCCACACACCTTCCGGGGGCAACCTGCTTGCCGCACTGTGCACCAGCCCCTCCACCCGCCTGCCGTCTCCCTTCCCCAGGACCCAGGCGCCCACTGAGCCGGGCGGTGTCCGTGCTCACGCAGGCTGGTGGCTATTCCACCCGCACTCTGCGCTTGCAGCATTCCTGGTGGCTGCATTACCAGCCCTGCAGGGAACAAAGATTAAGAGGCTTCATCCTCCGCCCCCAGTCCTCTCAATCCCCAAAGCTCAGGGAAGGAGCTCCCTTGAAGACCTCAATTTAAGCAAGGAAGACAACAATTCGGAGACACTCTCCCCGCTTTCTTGGCTTGGTCTCTAATTGTTTTCTTCCCAAGCCCCAGGTGTTCCGGGGAGATTGGGCAGAGGATGGGGGGCACCCTCGATGGCTCATGGCCCCCAGCGACTGCCATTCCTCTCATGGCATCCCGGTGCAAGAGGCAGCCCTTGGTGCCATGACTGAGGAAGGACACATTAGCACGGAGCTGGCGTGTGCTGGGTGTCTGGCAGACGCAGGCCCCTTCCCTGTGCAGCGGGCCCACAGCGGGACTCCTCTGGGGCTGCTCGGAGCCACCATCGACTAGAGACCAGACTTCTGCCCACGGCCACGGAGCCACCACGTCCACTGCCTGGAATCAGGGTGACAGCGGGCTTCCTGCCCTCCCTGCAGACCCCATCCCTGGAGGGGGTAATCTTCAGGCTCCTTCATATCCATGTCTATCAGAGATTTCAGAAAGAAATATAAAGAATAAAAACTACCCAAACTGGCGCCATCCAAGCTGTCAATCACTTGCCTCCCCGCGGCCGGCCGCATATGTGATGTGACGCACTGGTAGCATTTCTGCAAATTACACATCATTCTCCCCACAAAGCCGCACCTTTGACTGCTGTAATATTTACCTGGCCGCGCAAGTAATTTTCAGGCTTCACTTAGCAGGCCACTGAGGCATGAGGGGAGCAGGGATGGAGTTGACTTTGGACAGTAGTCCTAATAGGCCAGGTGAACACAGAGAGACAGCTCTTCATAGAGTCAGGGACAGAGGATGGGCTTCCATGGGCTCTCTACCAAGCATAATAGAACAGTCACTTACATGCTTCTGGTGATGGGGAGCTCACCACCCACTGTAGACACACCATTCCATCTCTGAGTGCTTCTGACAGTTACAGGGTGCCGTCTTGATGCCCGTGGAATCACCTGTCATCCATAACTTCAATCCATTAATGCTCTTTCTGCTTCACGGGTGACGCAGAACTAGAGTGATTAACTCAGCCGCCTTGCCCAGACCTTTCTCAGTTTTAGCATGGGGAGTCCCACGTCCCAGGCCTCCAGTTAAATGATGAACTCGTGGTTTGCCTGAAACTGAAACTTTTACATCTGAAAGTCCTGCATCTTAGTAACCCTCTCAATCCCAAGCAAACCTGGCTGGTGGGTCACCCTGCACAGAAAAGTCTGTGTCCACCTCCCTCCTCCATCTGACAGCCTGCCCAAGGCTCCCGGGCGGTTGCAGTGAGTCCTCTCGCCCTTGCTCCCCCAGGGACCCCAGGGTGGTAGGAAAGGGTCACCCAGTGGCAACAGTGGCTGGTCCTGTCTCTAGGAGGGGCAGCAGGGGGATGGGCCAGACTCAGTGTTTGGCTCAAACCCACACGTGCCACCTCTCAGCTGGGTGGCCTCGGCCAAAGCCTTTCACCCCCCAGGGCCGTGGAGAGGTGCCAGGGAGACCTAGTGTGGCTGCCCCAGGAGCTCGGGCGGGCAGCTGAGATGGAGGAGGGCATCTCGCCAGGCAGGAGGGGAGTGGGGAATGGATGGGCTAACAGGGTGCCAGGGAACCCGGGGCGGTGTGGCTGGAGTCCCAGCCTGAGTTCCAAGCCCGCTCTGCCTGTGTGACCTTGCGTGGTCACTCCACCGCTCAAGGCCTCAGTTTCCCCATCTGCAAGGTGGGAATCATACGAGCAGTTGGAAGGACTCGGTATATGAATACGAGGAAGTGAATGTGCACTTGGCAAGACGTGCTAGATGAGCTCTAAAGAAGCTGTCACCTCTCCGCAGCTGTCACTACTGCTCTCTGTGTCATTATGTCGAGGGTGGGGCCCCTCGCCTGTGTGCCCACGACAGCCCCTTCTCCCGTTTTCCCGCTTTGCAATGAGTGGTTGGGACAAAGTTGGATCCCTTAGTGGGTCGAGCCGGTCTCCAGGCTCTTGCGGGGGCTGGCTGCCCGGGGCGGGGGCGGGGGCGGGGACGGGGGCTCCCCAGCCCCTCACAGCCTTGCCCACTGGACAAAGGGGCATTTTTAATTCAAAGCTGCACTGAAGTCTGAAGATCCCCCAGAATCGTCCCCATCTGGCCTTCACACGTGCATTGAAACTCCTCAGATGACCAGGATAGGTAGAAGGAAACAACGAACCACAATAGGAATGGACCGGGGGGCCCAGCGTCTGCCCACTTTATACCCAGCTGGGAGCCACTGTTTCCCCCCATGGCTGGCCAGCTCTCCCTGCCCCCGCTGGGCCCTGCAGTCCCTTCTCCACCAGCAGACAGAGGGGTCTTTTAAACATATAAATCAGGTCAGGTTACTCCCCTGCTCAAGACCCTCCAGTGTCTTCCCATCATAGCAAGAATAACATCTAACCTCCTTGGACCAGCCTTTAAGACCTTATGTGATCTGATCAGGCAGCTCTCTGAACTGAGAGCCCACTACTCCACTCCTGCCACGCCGGCCGCCTTTCTCTCCACTCACCCGGCCAGCCTTATCCCATCTCAGGGCCTTTGCAATCACTCTAACCTTTGCTTGGCATTTTCTCCCTCCAACTTCCCCCGGGTGGGTCCTTCTTATCCTTCAGGTTTTAGGCAAGCCTCCCCCGGCCCTTCACATAATCCCCAGGTCGTTTTCCAGCCCCTCATCCACTGTTCGGTTTTGACTCATAGCAGTGATCACCACCTGGAATCACCTTTAACTTTTCTAGCTTGCCTGTTCCTGTTTGGTCTCTCTTTGTGCAATGCTCCCTGGGAGCAGGGCAGGTCTCTTGGACAGCAGCCTGGTGCAGGGAACCGACTGCTCACTCCACTCTCGCTCCCTCCTTGCCACAGCCCTGGGAAAAGGCAGCAGTGTGCCCATTTTACAGGCTGGTAGGCTGAGGCCCGCAGAAGTCAGATGAGTGGCCTAAGTCACTCAGTGAAGTCAGCGATCACGCTGGTATTTGGACCCAAGAGTGTCTGCCTCCAAGTGCTGCGTTCTTCTTTTATTTTTCCTTTTCTTTGACCACTCTGCCTGTGAAGGTTTTGCTCTCTAGGGACAAGAAAACAAAACACAACCATTTCTATAATGAAAAGCAAACGGGGTTTGCTGTTGTCGTTATAATAATACCAAGTGTTCGTTCAAAGCCAGGTAAAGATTTTTTTTTTTTTAATATACTGGGAGATTTTTTTATTGGACAGTTTCCTTGTAATAGGAACCAACACTGGACTTCAATTTTCTTTCTCCCAGAGGAAATAAGCTGGCCCTCCTGCAGACTGGGTGGGGAGCGGAGATGTCTGCACACCCCTCCCCTCGTGGGCACCCGAGACAGGAGCTGCCCGTGCCTCCCCCGGGCTCCGTTAGGACCCCACTGCCTAAGTCTAACCCGGGGTGAGGCTGACGTGGGCCCCGCCCGGGAGTCTGCACCCCAGCTCCGTCACCAGTCTGCCGCTCTGTGTTTTAGGGCAACTGTCTCAACCTCTCTGATAAAGACACCTGCCAGGTCCACCTCAGAGATGATTCAGGGCTCAAGCGCCCCACGGGCAGGAAAGAACTGTGAGCACATGGAGTGCATTTGCGAATCGGTCCACTCATGTCTTAACCACGCTGTCATGCTACGTCTGGGCATACACAGTGTTGGACAAGACGATCCCAGCCCCTGCCCACCCGCAGTGTACAGCCCGGCGCTGTGTACTACAGTGTTCACCGGCATTTTCTGCAAGGCCCCCGGAAGGTTGCAGCCACACCTTCTTGCTCACCCCTGCAGCCCCTGTGCCCAGCACGGAGCTCGCCTCTTGGCCGGGGCTCAGTAGACGAATAGGCACGGGTGCTGGTCAGGGTGGGGAGAGGAGAGGCTACACTCCCCCTGGAGAGATTAGGAAAAGCCTTTGACCTGAGTCACAAAGGATGAGCCGGAATCAGACAGGCAGACAAGGAGAAGACAGCCTTAGAATCTAGACCAGGGCTTGCCGTAGGCCAAATCCGGCCCACCATCTATTTTTGCAGATAAAGTTTTATTGGAACACAGCCATGTCCATTTGTTTATAAAGCAGCCCCGTCTGGGGCTGCTTTCAAACTGTAACAACAGAGCTGATTGGTTGTGCAAATGCTATATAGCCCACAAATCCTAAAATAGTCGCTCTCTGGCCCCTCAGAGCAGAAGTTTGCCGACCCTGATCTCGTTAAGGGAGGCAGCTCGAGGGAAGGGCCAGAGCCACCTTCCTTGCTCAGACTCAGAACTGGCGGTCTGATTTGCGTCGCCCATCGCAAAGTGGAAACGGGGCCTCCTATGCAACAGTGACTACAAATCAAGTCTCGGCAGCGGAGCATTGATCCAAGCGTGGAGCCTTCTAAGCACAGGGCCCTGTGCGACTGTCGCTGGCCCTGGCGGAGCTGGAAGCTGCTCTTGGGCTCTTTCTTGCAAAACTGCACTGGGAGCAGATTTCTGGGAAGCTGTCTTGACCCAGGGCTCTAAGTCGGGGCTTGGTCAAACCTCCAGGAGGACCAGCCTGAGGCCTGGTCCCCCGGCCAAGGGGATGGAGAACTGGCCTTCCCGTCTCAGCTCCCCGCACCCATCCGGGGAGCCTGGCATGAGAAGCAGAGAGGGGCCCGCTCCCTCCCTCCCTCTTGGCGACCAGACAGGAGGCAGCCGCTGGAAGAGGCGTTGATGGTTTAATGGGGACCTCTCTCTGAGGGGCTGCTCTCCCCACGCTCATCTGGGACAGTCTGATGGGGGGAGGGGACCTCACTGTGCCCAACTGTGGGACAGTAAGATGAGAACAGGGGCTTGTGGAAACCTCCCAAACTTGGCGGCCACTCAACCCCAACTCCCGGGACATCTGGACTAGTCTGTGCCATCTGTCCCCATGCTGGACATCTTCCCTAGACCCTCCAGACCCACTCGCACCTTCACTGCCCCTCTCTGTGCCCAAGTCTCGCCTGTCCGGGTGGCAGCCATGGGGCTTCCTTACCTGCCGCCTTCCTGCTGGGTTTGGCGAGTGGGAGGCACCTGCGGGGGACGGGCGGCCAGGTGGGAACGGGGTCTAGGTCCCTATTCCCTAGCTCGTCCCTGCGGGCCCGGGCCCTCTACCCAGCTCTTGCTGGCTGGCGTCTCCCTCCGCTGCTGGTCTCTCTGACGCAGGGAACCTCCCCACCTTTGCCCCTGCCCTTTGCTCCTAAGAGTGGAGACAGTTCCCGTGGCTCCCTGCCCTGGGGGCTGCCCCGTGCCTTGCCCGGATCCCTCAGCCCCACCCCGGGCCTTTGTGAATAATCTTCGTATGGAAGCTTCCGATCTTTCCGTGGACGGACTGTTTCCTGCTGGACCCTGGCTGACACGACCCTCTCCCCCAGCCCAAGTGGCTCAGGCCAAACAGAGGTTTGTGCCGATCAGATGGAAGTTGCGCCAGCACTTCCCGAGCACACGCGCAGGTGGGTGCTGAACCGCGGCTTCCCCTGGACGCGGGGTTGAGCACGCTGCCCTGGCCGGGCGGTTCTCGTGCTCCGTGCTGTCTGCTGGGTCACTGGGCAGTGTTCGGCTGGTGGCCGATCCAGTGTGCAGGGGTCAAGGTAGCCTCACCCGAGTGCAGGCACAGCTGGAAGGCTGACCCCGTTACACGTGGTCTCCCCAGCCCCACAGTCAGACTTCCGAGGTGGCGGCTCCGGGCTCCTGGCGCGCCTGTTCCCAGGGGCGGCAATGGGAGCTGCAGCCTCTGAGGCTTGTGCCTGGAAGCTGGCACGCCTCCGCTCCTCTGCCCTCTCCGTGGTCAAAGCAGCCACGGGACACGCCCAGGTCCAAAGGGAGGGACGCAGGCCCCGTCTGTCTGAGCAGGAGTGTCGGAGACTGTGTGCCGCCCCTCGTCCCCGGCCTCCCTTCCCTGCCATCCTCTTCATCTGCTGGGAGCTGGGCTCACACACCCATTGCCGGGGCCAACGTTATCCTGCAGACTGTGGCAATTCCATCTGCACTGGGGTTTTTGTTTTTAAATAAGCGACTTGGACCCGTGTAGACCGCCTCCCCACCCCCAGCACTGGTCCCACCTTCCCACCGTCTGCGGGAGGCTCCCGGCCGGGCTCCCGGCGCCGTCGCATGGTGCTGCTGGGTTAGCAGGTGCAAGGCACAGGTCTGACGGGCCGCACACCAGGACACTCACGCGCGCAAATAATCGAGACGTTTTCGTAACTCAGCTCTCCCGGGGCAATTTCTGGAAGGAAATGTTGGTTCAGTGAGTGTGCAGACCTTTTCTGAAGTCTCCAAGGTGTGCCGGGGAAGAGCCCAGCAGGGAGGTCCAGGAGCCCACGTTCGTTCTTGTCCCCGTGCGGCCTTGTAGCTTGAGCAGATCACCTGGCCTCCCCAGGCCGCTGCTTCTGTCTTGTGCAGGACAGAGGAAAGAGCGAGGAGGGTCTGTGGCCACCCCGAGTTCGAGGCCCAGCTCCTGCCCCTCGCGTTGGGCAGATCACCTCATTACTCTGGCCCCAGTTTACTCTTCTGGAAACTGGGGTCACGATGTGTATCCCGTGGGGCTGTCGTGAGGATGAAATATGGTGACACTCATGGAATGCTTGGTCCCGGCGGGCCCTGGCGTCCATTCTGATGTCCCGTGCCTGCGTGGGCCCTGCCGAGGCCACGCTCTCTGGCCCAGGCTGAGACCCTCCCGCCTCCGTGTCCAGCAGGGGGGCTGGCACACAGTAGGTGTTTGGGAGACACTGGCTGGATTGAACTGACCCTTCGTCAAACAAAGTAGTAGCAAGAAAAATGAAAACATATACCCAATTTTTTAAAAAATGTACAAGAATGTTCTTAACAGCTATATGCATGGTAGAAACATAGTAAACTATCCAGGCACCTATTAATAAGAGAACAGCTAAACAAATCATGCCATCTCCTTATAGCGGGACACTACTCAGTGAGAAAAGGAATAAACCACGGGTACACACAGCATGGGGGGTGGGTCTCAAAAATCTTATTCTGGGAGAAAAGAGCCTTCGCTAAAAACTACATACTGTATAATTCCGCTTATATGAAACTCTAGAACAGGAAAAAAATGGTGAGGAAAAAAATCAGAATAACGGATGCCTCTGGCCAGGCACAGTGGCTCACACCTGTAATCGTAGCACTCTGGGAGGCTGAGGTGGGCAGATTGCTCAGGGTCAGGAGTTCGAGGCCAGCCTGAGCAGGAGTGAGACCCCATCTGTACTAAAAATAGAAAGAAGTTAATTAAAGAAAGAAGCCAACTAAAAATATATAGAAAAAATTAGCCGGACATGGTGGCGCATGCCCGTAGTCCCAGCTACTCGGGAGGCTGAGGCAGGAGGATCGCTTGAGCCCAGGAGCTTGAGGTTGCTGTGAGCTAGGCTGACGTCTCGGCACTCTAGCCAGGGAAGTAAAATGACACTCTGTCTCAAAAAAAAATTTAAGAAAAAAAAGAAGGATGGATGCCTCTGAGACGGAGCAGAGGGGACTTTCTGAAGTGGCGGTGACGTTCTGCACCCTCAGAAGGGTTTGCATACACAGGTGTCTGCGTCTGCCAAAACGCAAAGCGTTGAGTGGCACACACGAGACTTGTGCATCTCATTGTATGTAGATTTTGCCTCAAAAGGAAAAGAATTGTACACAGACACTGAACCCTAGAGACATGCGCGCAGAAGGTTCCGGAGCGAAGCGTCCCGGTGCCCGCAGGCGGCTTCGGAAGGCCTCACGTAGACAAGGGCGCGTGCGGGGAGGAGAGACGCGCGGCGACGCAGACACGGGCGGACTTTAACTGTAGACGGCAGACAGTGGGCAGATGGGTGTTAGCATTTCTTACACTTTTCTGCATGTTTGGAAATGTTTATAATCACGTGTTGGGGGAATAAAACATGACGCTGTAGAGCCAAGCCCGGGGCTGTCTCTGCGACTCAGGACGCGGACAGAGCCGCCCACGTCTCGCTCCAGGGTCAAGCGACAAGCCGGAAGCCGTGGCGCGAGCCCCAGGGGACCGGACTCGAGTCTTGCTCAGCCAGGCTGACTCGGCTCCTGGTTTGGGCTTCAGTCTGCCCTCGCCCCACCGCCCGGTCTGGGGCAGCGCCCGTCTCCTCTACCCATCCCCTATTTTAAGGTCCGCATGGCAGTTTTCTCTGCCTGATATGTTTCTTCTATCTTCCTTATTAATTTGACTTATTTTCTGTCTCCTCCCACTAGAATGTGGACTCCAGGGGAAAAGGGGCTTGTTCCCAGCTCTGTCCCTTGCACCTAAAGCAGTCTCTGGCACGTAGTGGAGACACACACATCTTTGTTGGGTGAGGGAATAAATTAGCAGGGCCTGTGCGAGCTCTAGTGTAACCCCTCAAGGGCAGAATTCTGCCACCCAGAGTTTGCCCATTGCTAACGCCACCCCCGCGGAGCAGCAGGAAGAGAACTTACCAGCCATTCTCATCCCGTTTAACAGATGGGGAAACTGAGGCCCAGAGAGAGAGTGCAAATTTCCCAGCATCCACTGCCAGCTGGCGGCTGAGCAGAGATGGGGCCGGGCCTCCCAGCTCCCAGCTCGGTACTCTTCCTCTCCATCAGCTGCCGAGGCCCGGGGTACAGTGCTCACCCCCAGGAGCGGCTGGCAGATGGACGGACAGGCTCCGCTGGGCTGGGCTGCCCTGGATGCTGCTGCGTGTTAATTACAGCGGGCAGGATGTGCCAGCCTAGCAATGTCCGCGGTGCGCCCGCCCCTTGTTTAGCAGGTGGGCAGGCTGGCACAGGCCGCCGATCCGCCACGGGGCTGCCGGCGGCCGATCGTGCTGACACAGGCCCAATTGTCTGCAGCGGCTGCGGGGCGGGCTGGGCCGGGCAGACTGGCACGGCGAGGTCCTTCCCCGAGGACTGGCAGCCCCTCCCGTCTGCCTCGGTCAGCCAGACTGGCACAAGCTGGGCATCTGTCCCCATGATGAGCCCTTGCTGGACACAACCTGTCCACACAGGTGTGCTCGCTGACCGGCAGCCTGGAGGGTGGCAGGGGACTGAGCGCCGAGCATGACGCTGGGGGACACTGTAGGGTGTCACAGGCGGGGATTAGGGCCACAGCCTCGCACACAGGTACACAGACACTGGGAAAAGGACGTAGCAATGCCCCACCCCCAACACCTGGCCAGCTGGCCTGTGGGATCCAGACGTCAAGTCTGCAGCCCTGAAAGCCGGACTGGAAAAAGTCTCTTCTCTCTGACGCACAGGCTTCTTCCCAAGTGCAGAGCAGACTCGCCTCGGACCTGCTGTGCGCACTGCAGCCGGGGGACTCTCTGATACCAACGGAACCTGTCATTCCCCGCTTGAAGCTTTCAATGGCTCCCCATTTCCTGCCAGTAAAATAACAGCAATAATGTCTACCCCGCTGAGCATTTCAGAGCTAATAATAACCGCACCCGATTATAGAGCGTTTACCGCGTGCCAGGCCCCTTCCCGAGCACGTTACATGGGAGACCCGATTCTTCCTCCACCCCAGGAGGTGATGCTACTGTCACCCCATTTTATAGACGATGAAACTGAGACAGGGAGATGCAAGATCTTGAGTTGTACTTGAACCCGAGGGTCCAATTCCAGAGCCTAACCGCTGCCAAGCCCTGGCTCCCATGCCAGGGCTGGGGTGCTCTCCACACAGCACCCCAGATCCCATCCTGGACCCCAGCCCAAGCCTCCCGTTCTCCTCCCTGCCTGGGGGGCCCTGCCCTCATCTCGTCTGTCCCCACACCCTGCTCCATCCTCCAAGGCAGGGCCCAGGGTGCCCTCTGGGGTGGGGCTGCCCTGGGCACCCCCAGCCCCATTTCCTCACCACATCAGAGCCTGGCGCAGGGAAGACACCTGCTGCGGCCGTTTCTGTGACCACCAGCCCCTCTGCCCCTCCCCCTGCCTCACCTGTTCTGTAAGCTCCGGTGCACCCCTGGCCCCCGGAGGTGCTGTATGAATGAACAAGTGAATGAATAAATGAACCAATGAGTGAATGAATGCGAAGCTGAGGTCACTCGGGTTGGAGGAACGCGGGCTGAGGGCGGGCACTGAAGAGTGGCCTTCGTGGAGACACAGATGGCTGAACGAGTCCCTCCTCCCCCCTCCCCAGCCCCTCCCCTTCCAGAATGCGGCCGGAGAGGGCTTTAGTCAAACTGGGAAGGAGCCCCCAGCCCCTCTGCTTAGGGGTGAGCTCTGTGACCCTGGACCCCACTTCAGACACCGGGGTTTCTGAGAGCTCCCTCCTCGAGCGGCAGGGGAAGAGACAGAAGGAGCTGGACGTGAGAATCCCAGATGTGCACAGCTGTGCTTTGGCGCCAAGGGCCTGGCTCCCGGATCTGCCGCCTCCTCCCTCCGTGACCCCGGCCCGCCTCACCCCTCTCTGGGCCTTGGCTTTGCCGTCCGTGAAGCCAGGGCCTCCTGCTCTAACGGGCCAGGCTTCCCGGCACCACTGGTCTGGCAGTTGACGGCCACCTGGCACGCCTGCAGGGAGCCCTGGCGAGGGTGGCCCTGCAGGTTTAGGGCAGTGTCTCTCAGTTGTAGTTCCTGAATCCTGCACCACCTGACCCTGTGAGGCTTGTTAGAAATGCAGAATCCAGACTCCACCCAGGACTCACCAGATTTGAACCTCTGGGTTGGGCTTCCAGGGAAATTGACATTTCCAAACCCAACTCCCGCTCTGGCCTGGGTGATCTGCTGGGCACAGAAGTCTGTGCCCGGCATCTCCCAGGTCCTTCCTGGCTCCCTGCTTCTTGCCTGCTAACCCTTGCAGCTTGGAGGGGGCCCCAGAGCATCCACGCACAAGTCTAGTAGAGTTTGGGGGGCTCGGGAGGTTGGGCCGTGACTGTGTCTTTTGCGTGTGACTGGCATGAGCTTGCCTGGGTGTGGGAGGTGGCTGGGGGTGGGGTGGGCCTGATGTCCCCCACCCTGGTAGACACAGCCTGGCCTTTGTCAGAAACTCACCCCCACACACACCCCCGGCCCAGAGCGGGGAGCAAGGTGTGTGAGCTGCGCCTACAGCTGGGGTGCAGGCACTGTGCGTGCACAACAGCGTGAATCTGCAAACCGACGCACACCCTGAACCCTCCCCGTGCAAACGTCTAGAACTGCACACAAACGTTCTCATCATTGCGTTGCTTTACACACACGCGTGCAGCCCCGTGTACAGCCCGGGAGCACACCTGTGCGTGCGCTCGCCCCCACTCGTGCACACGTGCACCCCCAGGAAGGCAGGCTTCCTCGGTCACAGGGTCACCCACGGGTGCTGGCTCAGCCAGTGGCACACACGTCCTCACACTGGCAGGGGCACCTGCCCGCGTGCGGGGTGCGGGGCCCACAGAGAAGCCACGCCGCTCTCTCCTGCCCGCCATCCTCCCCCCCATGCCTGGCCCCATCCCTGAGCTGCCGTCTGCCATCACACGGTAACCAGATGAGACAAGGCAATTTATGACACCAGCTGTCTCTGTCAAAACCGGATCTCCCCCACACACCAGGGAAACCAATTACCTCGCGCCCAGCCCTGCCAGAAACCCAGACTCGGGGGGGGGGGGGGACTGAGCAGGGTGGAATCCGGCCGCCCAGAGAGGTGGGTGGCCTCTCACGTGAGGATTTTCCCTCCCTTCTTGTCCTTGGGAACCTGGCACCCTCTTCCCCCAGCCCCACGGGGAGGGCAGAGCCTGCCCTCTCCTCCCTGCGGCTGCTCCTCTGGCCCAGCTCCCAGGCCTCAGAGCTGCGAGAGCAGTTGCAGGGTGGAGAACAGGTGGGCAGGGAGCTTTAGGGGAAGAGTGGTCCAGGGTCGTCATGGCAACGAGAGAGCCAGGAGCCCTGTGCCCTTCCCCCTACACAGCATGCCATCAGGTGGCTATGCATCGTCCCCTGCTTCCTCTCTGAGCAGCCTTGCCTCGGTTTCCCTCTGCCTAGAATCCTCACTCCCTTTTCTGCCCTCTACCCAAAACACAATGCAACTCCTGGCCGGAGCCACCTCCTGTCTGCACTTTGGAATCAGACCCAGGTTCAAATCTCTCCGCTTCAGCACTTCCCAGCTGGGCGGCCTGGGCAAGTGGCATCCTTTCTTTGGCCATAGTTTTTGCATTTTTTTAAAAAAAGATGTTCATTTCTATAAAAGAAAAACATTGAGTGAGAGTCCCCCGTGTCCCGGCCTCTGTTGTAGAGTGGAGAGGACACAGTGGAACGAGGTGAAGTCCCATCCCTCCTGGGCTCCAGGCTCTGCTGGGAGAGTCGGAAAACGCAGGTTTCAGAAAATTAACAGGGATGAGTACGTCTCTTCGCTGTCCTCACCTGCTGTGTCCGCAGCCGTGATCCGAGCACCAAGCACGGCTCGCGGAAGGAGCTCGGCGGATAAGCGCACTCACACGCACGAGCCCGAGCCCTGGGGTCCGCGGGACCTTAGTAGACCCTTTACGAGCCCTCCTGGATCTGGCGCCATCTTCGTGCCCAGCCCTGGAGGGAGCTTTCTTGGCATAATTTCTGAGTGGCCGGGGTGGGGACAGGTCCGCTGAGTGGCCTGGGAGTCCATTCCTTCATTCACCGACTCATTTATTTATTCTGCACACGTACATTAGAAACGTACTATGTGCCGGTCCCCATGCTAGGCTCTCGGGTCGCGTGAATGGGCAAGGGGCCCTCAAGTGACAGGTGCATGGCAGAAGTTTCTAGATTCGCTCTTCATCCCCTTCCATAGTCTAGGCACTGGGCAGTAAATTCACGCTAACAGTCGTGCCCACTGCCCTTCACATTTTGCAAGATGCTTTCGCGTACGTATGTCCCTTTTGGTATTTCTAACAACTCTGGGGCAAAAGTTCAATCAACACATCCCCCATTGTACAGATGAGGAAACTGAGGCTCAGAGGCCATCGGTGACTCGCGCCATAACCCACAGCAGAACCGGGTCTCCTCCTAGCCCACACTTGTCCCTGGCATGATCTAATTTATTAATGGCTTTCCCCCAGCTGCTCTGTGCGACGGGCCTCGCTCTTGCCTGCTCACGGCCAGGGAGTGCGGCTTGCCGGGCTGGGGTTTGAACCTGGGCCGGGCCGGCCGCAAGATCCCAGGCACCGTCCACTCCTCCATATCTAATCAGTTCATTAAAACGCTCTTTGCAAACACTCCCTCTGGCTGCCCGGACACGGAGACCTCAGCTGCTCCATTTCCAGGAGAGCAAATTCCTTCCCCGCTGGGGCGGACTGGGATAATGTAGGCAGGCAATTTAAACAGCTCCGGCAAAATACACCAGCAGTTTCCACTCTCTGCCACTATTACACCTTCCAGCCGCGGCGGGATTGGCCCGTAAGTGGGATATCAAGTTTATTACAGCTATTTCCAACCTGTAATTGGTTTTGTGGAACACAAAGAGAAGGAGGTTGGGAGGGTGGGGGGAGGTGATTTTTTCCCCTTATTTTTTTTTTTCTCCTCCTTTTTCGGATGACGGCACCCGGGGACACTGGTGAGGCGGCTGAAGTTGGAGACTTATTTGTTTTTCAAATTAAAAAGCCTGGACAGTGGCAGGCCCTTGCACTGCTGGCTGGGCCAAGTTCACTGGCCATGCTGTGGTGGCTTCGCTGGAAAAGCAACCTGGCCTGACTGCAGCCAGATTTGCTGGGGGGTGGGGTGGACAGCTGGGGTCCTGAGATGGGGCCCAGCAGCCTCGGGGGCATGGGAAGTCTCTAGGACTGGCTGTTCTAGAATCAGAATATTGTGGGCATTGAGGATGGAAAGAGTCCTCAGAGGTCACCATGCCTCCAATTTCCTCATGGAACATTTAGGGAAACTGAGGCCCAGAGAGAAGAGCAGTGCAGGGACAACCTTTGGGACTTAGACCCTGGCTTTCTGCCTCTTGGAAACGTCCACACAGTGTAGCTGGGGAATTCATGGCTGAGACGCTGTCGGGATGGAGAAGGAAAGACCATCCATTCTTAAGAACCTGTCACGGCCCGCTGCCGCCACCAAAGTCGGTCCACCCTCACCAACCTCCCTGCTTTGGACTTAAGTAAAAATAAATAATGGCTAACATGCACTGAACACTTTCTGTTGCAATTACGTGAGTTGAGGTTTGCAAGCCATGCCTGGCACCTGGCAGGCACGTCATGACCGCTAGCGATTATTAAATCCGTCGCTGTCATCATTACCACGTGCCCAGCAAGCCCCTGGGCTCTCTGGGCGTGCGCGCGTGTGCACTGAATCCTCACACGGGTGCCGTAGTTACAGGTAGGTGTGATCGTTCCCACTTTGCAGATGAGGAAGCTGAGGCACAGAGACCTCTCCAAGGTCGCACAGCAGTAAGCTGAGTGGCAGAACTGGGGTCTGAACCTAGGGCCTCTGCACGTTTCCCACCCCCCTCCTTTCAGCTAATCCATGCCGGGGGCTCAGGGCCACTGCTCACCGCCTGCGCGACCTTGGGCAGCTCTCCTGCCTCTTTCTTGGCCTCGGCTCCTTCATCTGCAGAATGGAGCTGATGACACATGTCTCCCGGGATGGTCCATTCATTCCACAGCCCCCCATGCGCCTGGCGCTGTGCTGGGCACTGACTGGGGCACACAGGCCCTGGAGCCCGCGGTCCTGAGGACGCAGGGTAGCCAGGGAGGTGGGGCCGGCCCGCCCTGGGAGCGGCAGGAGTGCCTCCCCCGTTCTGCAAGGTGGTCCCAGTGCCCGGCGCGTGGTAAGGACTCAACTCATTCACTCATGCATTCGTTCACTCGACGGCTGCGTGTCGAGTGGGTCCTGCGTGCCGAACTCCAGGGCGGGACAATGGACGGGACAGATAGAGACCTGCCCTCGTACAGCTTGTGCTCTAGGAGCAGCTCACATTCAAGGGCCTATTTATTTGTTCAGGAAAAGTCCGTTGAACGTGAATGAATGAAGCCATTCACTGCAGCAGCACCTGTCTCTGCGAGAGGGAAATCCCACTCGTCCTCAGGGTGCGGCTTCCCAGGACTGAACCTTGCCCGCCTGCCCGGCCTGGCAGGCCCTGCCCTCCGCACACCCTGGGAGCCTCTCTGAGCCCCTGAAGCAGGGATGGAGTTGACTTTGGACAGCAGGCCCAAGGGAAGCTAAAGTGTTATGAGAAGATGAGCGCAGAGAGACAGAACCTCACAGAGTCAGGGAAAGACTAACTCTGTCAAGTTTTGTTGGCTCTCTACCAAGCATCATCTAACTGTCGCTTACATGCCTCTGGTGACGGGGAGCTCACTACTCACTGTAGACGTACCATTCCGTCTCTGAGTGCCTCTGATGGTGACCGGGTGCTTGCTCAGAGCATCCCTGTCACAATGGGCACGGGCAAGTTCCCAGGCCTTGCTTTCCCTTCTCCTCCCTACAGACACCATCCAGCCTCCCGGTGCCTCCCACCCACCCCCCTCTCTGGGCGTGGACCCCCTTCTTCCACTTACTGATTTTCTGCATGCCCTGGCGTTTTAGCAACAAACAGCGTCTGCTCCCTAGCTCAGACCTGGAGGGTGTGGAGGGACCCAGGAAAGCACGTAGCCCGGAAAGGAGTGAGTGCTTTGGCGTGCTCAGCACGCACGGGGCCTCCGTGCACGCCCCATCGCGCTCGCTCCTCACGAGGAGGCACGCTGCGCTGTCCCCGTTTCACAGACGGGGAAACTGAGAGCAGGAGAGGGGACATGAGTTCTTCAGGAGCACAAAGGCAGTGACAGAAACGAAGACTGCAGCTGGGGTGGAGGAAATCAGTCTCGCTACAGGCACAAAAGCCCCCCAGAGGCAGGAAGAGCCAGGTAGGACTGAGCACTCCCCGGAACGAGCCCACCTCCTCCAGGAAGGCTTCCACCCCCACCACCCCTCCACCCAAAGGAATCCTCGGCCCCTACACAGCGCCAGAGCCTCACTGGATGGCACGTGGGCAACACCTGCCATCGTGTGACCGACTCGGTCAGCTAGTGGGGGGCCGAGGGCCTCTCCCGCCAGGCCTCAGTGGGCTGCGACTGTGCCTGAAATCTCTCTCTTTCTCTCCCATGGGGCCTGGAATGGTGCCTGCATGGCTCGGGCCGGGGGAGATGTCTCTGGACTCACAGGGAAGGGGCCTTCAGCACAGCCAGCTCACCTTCCGCCCCCCACCCCACCCCGCCTCTGCCTCGGGTCCTCTGACCCCGGAACTAGGAGAGACTCGCTTGCAGGTAGCCGCTCGCCCGCCCGCTGGCCTGTGACCAGCGTCCCCAGCGTCCCTGCCCCTCCCCTTCCCCCAGGCGGAGGGGGGGGGCCGGCACAGCTGCAGAGGCCTGGGCTGGGCCCGTCCCCACGTCCCTGTCCTGCAGCTGAGACGCTGTCCCCGCTGTGGCAGGTCTAACAGGAGCGGTTATTCACTCCCGGGCTGACAGCCCGGCCCCCGACGCAGCCGGGGGACAGAGACGTGAAGGAAAACGAGGCTCGTCCTTGAAACTCCCCTGTCCCCCGGCCCGAAGCGGCGATTTACGGCGTGGACGATTCTCCCGCGCTCTATCCGGGCGCGTGGGGCGCGGGCGGGCGCGTGGGGCGCGGGTGTATTTTCCTAGTAATAAAACCCTCAGTCTCGGCGAATAAATTTGAGGAGACAGTTTTACTGACAGATTTTTCCTCTTTTGTGTAATAAAAAAAATGGAGTGAAATTTGAGATTGGGACGATAAGGGCTGCCGCGTTTTAGGACGAGATAAAAAAAAGCAGCACCTGAAGGGAGGCAGGCCGGGAGACAGGCTGCGGTGAGCGAGGACAGGGCGGGCCGCCTCCGGTTTATGGCTTCGTGAGGAAACTCCTCAAGCTCCCGCCCGCCAGCCACGGGGGCGGAGGGGACACTGGGTGGCGGTAGGTTTGGCCTGGCAGATGGGATGGGAGGTCTACCTGGGATGGGAGCCAAGAACCCGGTGCGGGGCCTCAGCCGAGTTACTCTGCCTCTCCCAGCCTCAGTTTCTTCATCTGCAAAATGGGAGAATTAGCATCTATTCTGCCCTCTGCCCAATGACATTGCAGGGCCAGGCAACGGGACGGGTCTAAAGCAGGCAGGGTCTCTCAATCTCGGCACCGCCGACATTTGGGGCCAGGTAACTCTTCCGGGGGCAGGGGCTGTCCTGGGCCTCGTAAGACGTCAGCGGCTTCCCTGGCCTCTATCGGCTAAGGGCCAGGACAAAGCCAGTCCCTCACCTCCAGTTGGGAATGTCTCCTGGTGGGGAGGGTGGGAAGAATCGTGCCCCAGTTGAAGGCCCTGGTTTAGGCTCTTTGGTGCCCCACAAGGCCCAGTGAATGAGGAGGGGAGGGGGTTCCTGCTGAGTCACGGGCTCCACCCCGCCGGGGTGCTGAGAGGTGGGGGCTGGAAGCTCTGACCCCCAGAGTGGCCAAGCCACCTGCAGCCCCTTCTCCCCCGTGGCCCTGTGCCAAGCCGGCGCGGCCAGCGGGGGCATTCTGCCAGGCTGTGACGTCAGACGCGGAACCGAGCCCTGGGTGTCCGGGCGCAGGGGTCTTTCCCGGGGCGAGTGCCGGTGCGGATCCCGCCAGGGGACAGGAGGCAGCACGTCCGTCCACCTCCTCATCCTCTCTTCCAGCCGGGTCTCCTCCTCCACGCCCTCCGTGCGCCCGTTTCCAGGGCTGGGCCCTGTGCTGCAGAAGGCGGGGGGACAAGGGCCGGTATGAGCGTCAATAAGCCCCTAGGACGGGCGGCAGGGTAGCCAGAGGTAAGGCGCAGTGGGAAGTCCCACCGCTGACCCCCCTCGGGGTCCCAGAGCTTGTGGGTGTGCTGCCATCATTCCGACCCTCCCTGGCACGGAGAGAGGCCGCCTTGTTGTTTATGGCGCTTGCAGTCTACGCAGGGTGACCCATACAGATGTAGCCTGTGCCTGGCACACAGCTGGCACGCAATGGTTGCTGGCTGGATTGCGTGGAGCCTTAGCCCCTAGATCAGCAGCAACGCCCCTTAGACTGGACGCGTGTGGTCCAAGTCACCTAGGGTGCAGGGCGCCCAGAGGAGCGCGGATGTGCCCTGGGCCAGTCCTCCCAGGCGGGGGCAGTGGACCCGTGCTCCAGCCCCTGCTTTGGCCCCCACCCAGCCCCTCGGAGACTCCACTCCCCGGCCTCCGCGCGCCCAGCCCCCTCGCTCGCGCTTGCACCAGGCAGAGCTGCAGGGAGTTAATTCCGCTTCTCCAGGCCCGAGCATGAGGCCTCCCGGTTGCAGGCTGTTAGCGTGGAGCCCAGCTGAGCGGCGAGGGGCTGCGAGCGCTGGTCTATAATAGAGTTGCTGAGACAAGCGGAAAACTGCAGCCGAGTAAACAGATAAATAATTGAAACAGTGACAACACATACCTTGCTGCTTTGTGGAGTAACACTTTCATTAGCCGCAGGCAGCTCGGGCATGGGGCGCGGGCGCGCGGGCAGCTGGGAGCCCGGGACACCTGGGTTGGCGTTCGGTTGGCTGTGGACAGCGGGACACCTGAGCCGCCTTTGTCTTGCAGCCCCGGCTGCAGTATCACCTCCCGGCCCTGCCTCCTCCGTGTTCCTGAGTGCACTGGGGCCTTCTCGCGTCCTCCCAGCCCGTCCTGGGGCAGCCAGAGGAGGGCGAGGGTCCGCAGTGTCCCTTGCCCCACCCCCATGTCAGCAGGTGGGGTTCCCGGCCTTCTGGGGGGGCAGGATCAGCTGGAACTGTCCTCACCCTAAGGCCAGAGGGAGCCCGTGAGCAGAGCCTGAGTGTGCCCGCAGGGAAGGGGAGCTCCTGGGGCCTGGCCGCCTCCACCATCTGCCCGTGGTTCTCTGCCCAGCCCGGCGTCTCCTCGTTCCGCCTCCTCCCTGCTCGGGTGCTGAAAACCCAAGGAGCTTTCCCTGAGCACACAGGGCTCCTTTGCTCCTGCTGTCCCTCCCTCTGCCTGGCAAGCACTGCCACCTTCTGCCAGGCCGGCCCCTATTCTTCCTTCAGAAGGCAACTTAAACATCACTTCCTCCGGGAAGCCCTCCGTGACTACCCTGTCCCCAGGACGGGGACTGTCCCTCCTCTGGGCTCCGTGTCATCCTCCCTGGGCTCCTCAGAGGATTTATTAATATCTGACATTACTGCAGTCTGGCTTGTTTGCACCTGCATGAGATCTTCGCCCCGTGACTGTCCCCGGTCCCCAGTCCCCCGTCCTCTTTCTTGCTGGTCTTCTCCCCATGCCTTCTCTCCCCGGGCCGAGGAAGGGATCAGGATCGGGATCAGGCCGGGCCCGTGACCGACTGCAAAGCTCGGCCACACTCCCCGAGCCTCGCTGGCCGCTCCGGCAGGACGGCCCGGGCGCAGGAGCAGGATCGCCCAGCACCTGGAAAGGGCCGAGAGAAGAGCCCACTCTGCCCGCCCTGGCTGTGGGATGCCAGGAAGTGGCTGCCCTCCAGGGCCTCAGTTTGCACGTCAGGGAAGTGGGCGTGGCGCCCTTGCACCGTGGGGGGCTAGTGCTGAAGGGAGCTCCTCCTCCGGGTCAGATGGCGGGGAGGGGCAGCCTGGGCTGGCCAAGAGCTCACCTCTGGCCGTCTCTGTGCCCTGCGGCAGGTGACGGACGGCGGGACCATCAAGCAGAAGATCTTCACCTTCGACGCCATGTTCTCCACCAACTACTCACACATGGAGAACTACCGCAAGCGCGAGGACCTGGTGTACCAGTCCACCGTGAGGTGAGGCCGCCGGGCGGGCCGGGGTAGGGGACGGGGGGAGGACAGACACAGGGGAGGGGCTGGGAGGGCGCCACTCCAGCCCTCCACGTCAGTCCCTGGGTGCTCTTGGGCGCGGAAGGCAGAGCTGGGGGCTGTGCTTGTGGAAGCCCAACCCACCCCCTGGAGGGGCGAGAGGCAGGAAGGGGTCACACCATGGCTCCCAGTCTAGCCTCCTCGGCCAGCTCCTCCAACAGCCCTGCGGGGGGCGCTCTCCAAACCCCATTCCCAAGTGAGGACGCAGAGGCCCAGAGAGGGCAAGCCACGTGCCTGAAGTCACACAGCCTGGGACGACAGGGCTGAGAGGAGAAGCAGCTCTGCCGGGCTGTGAAGCCCACGCCACACATTCGGCTGTTCCCCGTGGGCTCCGAGGCCACGAGGGCCCCAAACTTGGGGAGGAAAATGACCCCAGACCCCTGACTCCCAGGTCAGAAGCAGCAGGATGGGGAGGGAAGAGACCACGAGCTCGGAGATACTTGATATTTTTACACTACCCCTGTTTTCCAGAAGGCACAGAGCCGAGCTAATTAGATCCCACTCCAGGGCCTGGCGTTTTCTAGGTGTGTGGGTCCCCGTGGCTCCACCCCTCGCACACAGCCCCAAAGATCCCCCAGTCCCCCTATTTCGTTTCTCTGATGCTGTCCCCTCTGCTCAAAGGGCCTTTCTCTCTTCGGTCACCTGGCAAACTCCTCATCAGCCTTCAGAACCCCATCAAGCAGGTCCACCCGTGGGGCCCCCCACCCCAGCAGAATTGATCCCCCCAAGCTGGATGGCTGCGGCTCCCCCCAGGACCCAGCCCTCCGCAAGAGGGGTCAGCGCCTGGTACCTCAGTGTCTTCACACGCAGCCAGAGAAGGACCAGGCCCAGCATGGGTGGTTCCTCTCTCTCTGTGACCATGAACTTCAGGAGGACGAGGCAGACGCCCCCCCCTTCCCTTCGCATCCCAGCTCCCAGCCCAGGGCCTGGCACGCAGCTGGTGCGCGGTGAAATTTGCAAAATGCGTGCACAACTCTCGGTACGCTCCTTGGCCCTTTGCGCCTCAGTTTCCTTACAGTAAAGTTAGAAAATGGGACAGTAAGATTGCAAAGGGTGCGTCTGGCCCTGCACGGGGAACCCGGTCCTCTCCCGCCTGCTCTTGTGAGAGTGGGAAGGTGGGGGTGCTCCCGGGAGGACCTTGCTGGTCCTCCTCTTTCGGGCCGTGCTGAGAAAGAGGATGGATGGTGTGGGCAGAGGCGGGTAAATGACCTCACAAACGCCTCCATCCATCTAGCCACGCTCTCCCCCGGACCCGCTTCCAGAAAGGAATTGAGGCGCCTTAAAATACTAAAGCACACCTAAGACAAGCCAGTTACCATCAAGATGAAAAAGGAGATAAAAACTCATCTTGGAGAAAAAAATAAGCATTCTGGGAACCACAGATGGTTTTGCAGCAGCAAGGGAGCTCTCAGATCATCTCCAGGGTTCCCAGAGGCCCAGGCTGCCCAGCCACCCCGGCCTGGTCTCCGTGGCCCTGAGAAGCCCCTGCTTCTGCCCACCCGCTCTCTGTCCCCACCAAGCCACCCGCTGCCACAGGTGTGGTCTCCAGGCCAGCTCCTTGAACCCCACCCTGTCCCGCTCCCTGGTGCCTGACGACCTGGGTTCAAACCCCGCTCCGCCACTGCCCACTGAACAACCTTGGGTGACAGCCAAAACCTTTCTCTCCGCCTCGGTTTCCTCACCTGTAAAGCGGGCTGGACAAGATTGGCTTTGTCCAACTGCTGTGGAATTTAAGTGAAATTTATGTCCAATGGCCTGAGTTCAAATCCTGCCGGTTCCCCGTCCTTGCGTTAGTGAAATCTTGGGCTGGTGACTCTGTGACAGAGGAGTGACAGCAGTAAGAAGCCCGCTGCAGCCTCAGGACCTGACCAGCGAATTGGAGCAAGGTGCTGGCGCGGGGCTGCCCGGAGGTGCGCCTGTGCGGTCATTACCTAGAACAGCCCCTCCTCCCCTCCACAAAGCAAACCCCCCCCCAAAATTCACCTTTTAACAAATCTCATAAACCCTTCCTTTTTATCCTTTCTCCTTTGATCTTCACAAACAACCCCACAAATGCAGGCAGGTATTATTGTTATTATTATTACCATTTTCTCTAGCCCTGGTTTTATTCCAAAAGGGCTCAGAGTTCAGCGAGGCCAAGGGACTTGCCCAAGGTCTCCCTCTGGAGTGACATGAACTAAGTCAAGCCCCAAACGATCTCTTTCTACCCCTCTACCGTGCTGCCTTCCCTGTTTTACAGTTGAGGAAGCCAAAGCCCAGAGAAGGCATGAGACTTGCCCAAGGTTGCACAGCAGCACCAATGGAAGCCCAGTCTCAGGACTCATGGCCGGTGCTCTTTGCTCCCAGCCTTCTCCCTGAGCCACAAGGCAGGTCTCCCAGGCAGAGAGCAGCCCAGGGCACTGGCTGTCCTATTTGCCTAGGGAGAGGGAAGAATCTGGAATCTAATGGGTTGGGGAGTGTTGCCACCCACCTACCCACCCACCAGCAGAGCGGCTGGGGAGGCTGCATCCTCCGGCTGCTGAGCCCCATTAGGGCTGGCAGCGGGCTGGGGACTCCGCATTTACATATAAATGAAGATATTTACAAATTAATGCATCTCAACTAGAGAGTCCCAGCTCCACAGCTGTCTGAGCCACTTCCTCTTCAGCTGGGGAAGTGGGGAGGGAATGAGGCTAAGAAGATTACCAAGAATCGGCAGAGAGCAATTTCCCCGGTAGCCTAGCGGAGCCCCAGGGACTCCGGGAGCTTTTCCTCCCGCTGGTGGGGTCCTGAAGGGCAGATTTCGGGCGGGTGTTAGGGCTTCCCCCCCAGGAGGGCAGCTGCGGCACCCCGTTGCATGACCTTGGGCAGGTCTCTGCCCTCTGAGCATGTCGGAGGCCCAGCTGTCAAATGCCTTGCTAGTTCTGAGCCTCAGAACGCAGAACTCCCAGGCTGGAGTTGGCGAGAATTTATTCCTTTGAAGGGTATTTAACTGAGCACCTACTAGGAGCCTGGCATGGTGCGAGTCGTTCAGGGCTGCAGTGGGAACAAGGAAGGCGCCGCGTTGTGGTCTCGTGGGGGAGACGCAGTAATCAGGGAAGAAGGACATAAATACGTCACTGCGCATCCCACAAAGGTGCGAATCCCAAGGGTGGCGTGTGATGAAGGGGCAAGCGGGGTGTGGTGCCCGGGAAGGTGTGGCTTGTGCAGGGACCTGGGGGGCGGGAAGGAGCCGTCCCGGTAGGGAGGAGGCAGGTGTGGCCCACAGCGTTGCGCCCGGCTCGCATCCTCTTACCCAGCGCTCTTTGGGGCAGCACCAGCACCCCCACTCTTCCCCTGGGCTGTCTGTGGGGGTCACCTGGCCTGCACGTGGGCGGGCGGGCGGGCAGTGCTAGGGGGTTGACGTCCCCCTGGAGCAGCTGGACCAACGGCTGACCGGAAGTGCTGGAGGAATCCCCAGCGCCCCTTACCCCGCCCAGGGGAACACTCAGATGTGTGTCCTCCACGTCCCCCAGAGTTTCCAGCGGAGGGGGGGGCGGCTCAGCAGCCCCCAGAACTGGGCCTTGATGATGGACCTGCATGGGCTTCCTGCATGGGCCCATCCTGCCAGCTTCCTGGGACCCCCTCATGTAAACCCTTCACTCCCAAATCTGCATCTTGGGGTCTGCTTCTTGGCGGCCACCTAAGGTGCGGCAGGGGTGTGATCTAGGTGACAGCCCCCTGGACATCCTTCACCCTCCACACCTGCCCCCGCACCCCTGCCTTGGCCCGGCCGCCTGTTCCGCAGCGGGCCAGGCACAGGCACAAGCGGACTGGCGCACCCCCGCTGAGGGACAGACTGACCGTGCGGGTGACACTCCTTCTGCCTATGTAGGGAGGAAAAACACCTTTTCCTCCTGCAGTTGCGGGCTCGCGGGCTCTTGGCTGGGGCTCCCATAACTGGTTAGCAAGAGAAGAGCATGCAAATCTAGTCCGTGTGAGTCAGGAAATGAAGACCCGGAGAAGCGGTTGAGCCGAGCGTCCTTACGCAGGTGTGAGGAGGAGTCGCGAGAGTGCGGTCGGATGACGGTGGGAGCCGGGGGCAGTGGACGGGCGGACGCTCGGCAAGGCTGCTCGTTCAGAGTCCTCTGGGTCCCCGTCCCTCTGTCTGTGGAGGTGAGGAC